GCCCCCCCCCCCCAGGGGGGGGGAAAAAATCCCCCCCCCCTTTTTTTTTTTTTTTTTTTTTTGGGCTTATCAAAGCTTGTCAATGATCAAGCTACCATCTATATCACCTTTTTCTAACTCCCATGTGACTACTCTCTACTTCCCATTATAATTGATTAATTTTTTCATTATATCTAATGTAAATACAAAGCTCCAACATTTCAAAAGCAAGGCTGGAACATTTGAATGCTTATGGCTCTGACTTCAACTCAAATTGAACCATTGTCCATGAAAAATAAATAAATAAATTATAAAGAATAAAGTGACACTTACTGATGCATTCCTAGTAAAAAAAATTAAAATAAAAAGCTACCAATTCGTTTTTCGAATTCTTGTTCCATTTCGAACTATAGTCTGTCCACTCAAATTTCAGTAACTACAATATAAACAACAAAAACAGGAAAATAAAAATGGACAATCACTAACACAATATAATCCCACAGCTTCTCTAACAATACAATTAGTAAATACAATCATATATTAGTACAGGAAAGAGAGATATAAAATCATTCATAAAACAAATGGACTCGCGCATACAGAAATCGGCATGGGGACCAATATGTATTATGAAATGCATCATATTTATTGCACATAGAGAAAAAAGAAAAAAGAAATAAAGAGTTGCTAAACACTTACAGCAATACATAGCGCCGGCGTCAAATGAAGATGAATTGAAGGCATAAACAGTAGCATCAGCTAAAAATATCGCACATTTAACATCATCCGTGATAAGAAAATAAGGGTATTTTTAGGGTTAGGGTTTTCTTGATTGGTGGGAAAGAGCAGAGACCAGTCTCTGCGAGGAAGAGACAGAAAGTAAGGAGGAGAGAAGAATAAAATAATTTATTAATAAAAAATGGTAAATGCTAAACGTGAATGTGCCAGAGTAAAATTCTATATCCAGATAAAGTAAGTACAATTAGGGAAGACTAAAATAAGTCGATTTTTCTGGCACGACGAAGTTTGTTCTGGCAGTGCAATTTTGTGAGGTGGAAACGTGCAATTGGTGGGGCCTGAGCTTTTTGAGGTGGTTAGGGACGTGATGACATGCTGTACTCACAGCAAGGTCGTGTTTGTTAAGAGAGAAGAGTGATTAGACGGGAAATGATAATTTCTAAGGACAGAAAAAGGTTTCTTCATCTTACCAAACATGACTTTATGTCTGTGGTCCTTTTGTCATGAAATAGACTCCATGAAATTTGAATTCCTTTTTTTCATAAAAATATTTTTGTCTAGCTATAGTTGGAACATGGAAATCCAGTGAAATTATTAGTAGCAACATTTATGGACTGATAGCATTATATTTGTTTTTGTAATCTTTATCAAAATAATAATAATAATAATAATAATTTATTTTTTTTGTCCAAAACAGCAGTAAATATTGTACACAAACATATTGAGTTGGGATAATCGAATCTATATACTAACGTATTACTAACAAAAGTTATCACTGGATGTGAGCAAAATCAGCTCCAAGCTCTATATAACATGATCTTTGATCTCGTCATGTCGGCGTCGATCCGATGTAGCTTCCAACCCAAACCGAAGAGTTTGGAATTAATACGATTTCTATTCTCACGTTTAGATTGAATAAATACATTTATCTTCAAGAATAAAATTAAGGGTTAATTCTTTTGTACAGTGGCTACTAACTGGGAAATTTACAGGTGTTGAGATAATAGCACTTGTATAACTGTAATTTTTTTTAAACAATTGTTAATGAAAATCTGTTAAGTGTTTCTCTATATAAAATCCTGTTAAACTATCCCGTACACATAACGGAATTCCAAAATTAAACTAAGGTAATCATTACTTTGGCAAGAGAATGTTCTCAAGTTGTATGGGAATCAATCAATTAAAACCATTTGACAAGACAACCTAGGATTGAAGACTAGCCCTTAGGCTATGATGGCATTAGCAAATCAACCTCCTCAACTAGATGTGCTTGGGTACGGCGGTCGTGTACCGTAACTCAAGTTTTGACGTGATCTCATCTCAATGGGTGAGATTGGGTCACCTGATGAAGTGATGTCTCTTCATTCGACAATTGCACTACATAGGACGGTGTGTTTGATTATTACTCCACCAATTAGAATCTCAGCATGGTACTAGAATGGCTTAATTTCCCATGACCAATCACATCAATCATAATCATGGCGATGTCAATTTTCATTTACCTGTATATAAGGGGCATTCTTCATGTGGTTGATTCAAGCAATTACATATTAGAGAGTCTTCAATTGTTGTCCCCCTACCAAGTCGACGGTGAATTAGATTCACTAATTTATTTACCTTTTCAGGTTCAACCAATGTTAATTTTAATTACATGAAATACTCACTCATAATTGCAATTTAAAAAATGGCATCACTAATACAAAGTTTTAATAACTAATTTCTTATTTTTACCTTTTGTTATCCACTCCATCCTTTTTTTTTTTTTTTTCACCCCATCTCCATTTTGGCAAACAATTAATTGAGTTAAGGTCGATTATAACTATAATAAATAAAAAAAATGAAACGTTTTTAATACATTTTTCAAAAAAATAAAATGATCTTTTAGATAAGATACTAAAATATGAAGCTATTTTCCATTTTGTGAGTCCTACCCAAAAAACCAAAAAAAAAAAAATAATAAAAAAAAAATAAATGAACAACAACATTTTGAGAAATTCCTTGTTGAGTTGCAGAGCCTGTCCTGGACACAGGCAAATGAGGCCTGTGCCTCTGGCCCAAAACCACAAAAGGCCTATTTTGGCCGAAAGTTTTTTTTTTTTTTTTTTTTTAAATATTGAAAGAAGGAAAATAGTTTTTTCATTAATTGTGAGATGATTGAGATATATGTTTGTTATTTTAATTTTAAATTTTAAATTAACAATATGTTGCATAATATATCGTTGAATTTTATATTTACGTTCATTTTGGGGACCTAAATTTTGGACTTCGCGTCGAACCCCGATAATCACAAGACCGGCCCTGTTGAGTTGTAATTGACTAGTTAGTCTATAGTCCCCCGCCCCTTCGTCAATGTAATGGTAGTGGGCAAGGGCGGCCTGGAGTTAGGTATGACATCTGGTATAAGGCAACTTCATTACTGCTAATATTATATCAAACTGACAAAATATTTAATAACAAAGCAATGGCATTGAACTGGATTTTGGAGTATTTTTTGTACTTGGTGAAGAAGCTTGTGTTCCTTTCTTGATTTCATCATTTCCCTTCATGTTCTTTTTACGGCATGCATGTGCAAAGTTAATGCCAATGTTGGAAATATGCTTAGTGGTATGTTATAAGATATAGAGCCTATTTGGGAGTGATTTTGAAAATTGATTTTTTGACCGTTAGGAGAAAAGTGAGATCCACGTGTGAGAGAAGAAGTCAAATATGACGACTGAAATAGTGAAATAACGGTCAAAAAATCAATTTTTTAGGAGGGAAAATCGCTCCCAAACAAGCCCATAATCCTCCAGAAGACTTCATGTATTAAGATTTGATGTTCCCTTTCACAAGGTTAAGCTTTTTGAAGGAGTAGTTCAATTTTGTTTATTTATTTAGGAAATTTGTCATAAACCCAAGGAGAAGTACACATTGTTGAAAACTTGAAATAATGGAGGTTTGTGTAATTGTTTATGAGTGAATGGTATTTCTGAACTTATCATAAATTAGGGTGGGGGTCTACGTAATTTGCTCTTTTTTATTTTTTTTTAATGTAGAATTTACCTTTGCATGCCCAACAAAATAATGACTAGTTTGAACAGACAAATTTTAAAATCCAGGCGCTAATCAAAACGATGTGCTTGTTAATGAGCTTTTATACTGTATTAAGACTTTAAAATTCCATTTTAAAATATATCAACATTGTGTAATAGCCCAAAACCTTACACGTTGACACTTTCTAGTTTTCACTGTTAGAGTACTTAACTGGTTCAACTAGACCAAATTTTGAGAGGAAACTCCACAAAATTGTATTGTCCAGTTGGTAAATTGATCTCACCTATATACGAGAAAAATAATGGAAAAAGACGATGAGGAATTTAAACTAGGTTAAATTGGTCATTTGAACTACAACGAAGAAGCCCCTTTAAGCAGGAAATAAGTAGAAAAAAATTATAAGGTGTCAATTTGTCATTGGTCTTTAGGGGAAATTATGTCATCTGTTAAAGAAACTAATGAAAATGGCAAGCAAAAATGGATAGAGTTAACCAAATACGGTACTTATAAAACTTGATACAAGGAAATAACAATATTATATGGCTTTCACATTCCTAAACATTTTCTGGAGAAGTTAGTATTACAACAGTATAATAAAAATTCTGATCAGTTGACAACAAAACAGTTGATACATTTCTCCTTTTCTTTGACAAAAAAATCGAAAAATAATTGAACAAAGTTTTCTGCTATTTTAACAACTGCACAATTCATTGATCTTTAACTGGATGATACCTTGGCTGGATTGTGAGCATGAGCTCATAGATTATTGAATCTGCATAAAAGAATACAAAACGAGGTGCTTCAGCTACTATTCTATCAGTAATAGATAAGAAATAAAGGATTGATTAGTCCTTGAGCTCGAACGATGATTATTTCTCTTCCAAGTTTGCCTTTTTTTTCCTCCTACAAATGGCAGAAAAATTCAAGGATCCTAATTTGATGTCCCAGAAGAAACAGGAGGAATCCATCTCTAAACATCTTGATGCATATGCTTAAAAGACCTCGAATGAGTTGGCAATGGAACTTCCATATGTGTAGTTCACCATGTGGCCAAACCAAACCAGCTCCGGGATAAAAACTACTCCAAACTACCTAAAAAAGAGGTAAAGGGCAATTAAACATACCCTGAGCTTGCACTCATAGTTTCAGGTTCGTTGCTACCAAGTAGGTATGAAATGACTAATTCATTCCATATATCAGGTACTCCAGGTAAACACCAGTGGCTACAATCAGATAAAGATGACTTGTCACTCCAAGTACCCACATGAGCATCACTTCGAAATGCTGACATCGGAGTTATATGCAAAACCGTAACAGGAACTGACATATTGTTTACCACCTCGAATACTGTGTCTGAAAATTGACTACCGTCTTTCCCTCTGGCCTCTAAAAGAGGAAACTTTGTGACATTGCATTGCCGCAGAGTTAGATTCCTGGTGCAAAAACAAACCACCATTTTTTAAAATAAATCTCTTGCAATTAGCCAAAATACATTAAAAAAAAAAATAATAAAAAAATAATAATAATAATAATAATAAAATTAAAATTTAGAAAAAAAAAAAAAAAAAAAAAAAAAAAAAGATTAAGGAGAAACTGGTGCAGATAGAAATAGCAAACTAATTGTAGTAACAGCTTCATTATGAAAAAAGTATCACTTTCCAGATCCTTTTAAAGGAATAATAACCAAAATATTATAGATCCTTCAACTTTTGAAAGCAAAAACATGTATTTATCAACGGAAGTCAGATGAGGTAAGCTCCAAGGAATTTGAGCTGTCTCAACGTTTTTCAAATTTAATACCAGTTAAGGTAAAAATAATAAACTTGTTCCACATTAAGGAAAAAAGATTATATGATAATGACGAGGACCAGTGAAAGATAAAGCAAGGAATACCAACATTTATATTTGCAGCAAAAGAAAATAGAAATTTGATGGTGTGCATATGGAAAGCTAAATATTTTTCAAAGAACAGCACAGTACCTCCAGTGAGAAGGCTCAAAAGTTCGGAAGAAGACCCGCGTTCTTTTTGGATTTATCTTCCTGTCAACCCATGATGCCCAAGTGTTTATTGCTGTTCTGAAGGCAGAGGTAATTTGCATTCCAAGCTTCAGAGAATTACCAACTTGAAAATAGCATCCCCTGCCAAGACAAGAAATTCAGAAGTTAGCTTAACACATACATCAAAAAACAGCCACACAAAAAGACTCTCATCTGGAACAAAAAACTAGTTAACCATATTAGAAAAATTACTGTAAGCTGCCAGTTAATCAGATTTTTTTGTGCCATCCGACACTAATGTGTCAGACATCATATGCAGACAGATCAATGTAAAAAACTTATAACTTAAACTATGATATTCTGTATCATGAACAACTTATGGGCAAAATCTAGAAGTAGTGTACATGTAAAGGAACAACTCGTTATGAAAAAACGCAATGGTCTATAACTGATCTGGATAAGTGAAGCCTATCAAAATGAATTAGGATGTCCAAGTCTAATTTGAGTTCCAGAATCAAGAAACTTATGAGTGGGACAGTTAAAAGTTACTAACAAAAGACAGAAGGTATCCCTAAGAAATTCAATACAACAATTTTGAGCAATTCCATAAAACTGTTACATTTCTATTACTCGCCAGGAGAAAAAGGTAAATGTAAATCAGAAGATTCAGGACTATATGTTATTTATGCTAGCTTTCCTTGCTTTCCTTTCCGGGTAGGATAGGATTCTACTTTCATCCGGTTGTAACAAATAAGATATGATTGATTTGGAAATTTTTAACACCATCAACACTGTTAAATTATACAAGTCTAAGTAATCATGAATTTGCACATAGAAGTCGAAATGGACCAAATAAAGATTAGATTCCATTTTTATTTGATGATCCCATAGGGTCAGGAATGCAATCGTATTTTTCTTGCTCTGAACTACATGCTTTTCATATTCTTAAATACATCATAAATTACAAAAAAATTATTTGGAGCCTTGCTTTCCAAACCATAACAAAATATACAATATCATCAAATTCCCCTCAGGAAACAAAGTAGTAACAGCTGCAACAGCAACATCACCAAAAATGATTAATTCAACTCTTCAACTTGGAGGGGAGAAAAACAGGGGAGGGGGGTTAAATCTTAAACTAAAGGGGAACAAAACATTAAAGCTTCACAAGTTAGTGGCTTTGGGCCATTGTGAGTATAATTTACCTGAAAGCATTTGCTTGTTTGTTAGTGATTTTAAGTGTTCAGAAGTCATGGACTATATGTCGAAAAAAGAAAGTAAGAGCAAGAACATTGTTTTGTTTTTCCTTTTTTTGTTTTTCTTTTTCGTTTTCCCTTTTTTTCGCTGCAATTAAATCGTAAAAGAACAAAAAGTTCCTAAAGTTTATTTTGATCCAAAAAAATCTCGAAAAAGTTTACCTAGCTCAAAGTAACCAACTAAGCAATTTTAAATCCTTACCCAAACACTTATCCTCTGTCTAACACTGTTAACAAAGTGAAGCAATTGAACAAAAACAATCCTGCAAAACTAAAAATCTAAGCTGGTTGAGTTAAAGTCAAAAGAATTATTTTCTTGAGAAATTAAAGTTTTCCTTGTTAAGAAGTTCAATGTACTGTCTAGTGTATAAGAGAAAGGGGTCTAGAGGAGGAGCTGACCGTAATGAGAGATTTTGAATGTTTACTTATAATGGCACGGAAAGATCTAATAAAAACACTTGAAATTGTCGATCATTCAATCAATACACGTATAGAAACTGAATGGATGGGCCAACGTGAAATTCATGCTTAAAGAAAGAAGGAAACTTACATTCCAAAAAGCTTCCCTGGAACCCACCATTGACCAGAATTGAAAATAAGAACATCTGAATCAATCCACTCCTTACTGATATCATCCAATTTGTCCAACTTAAGCGTTGATCTAACTCTCCTTGGTCCATGTTTAGGTGCCCAGTAGTGTTGCACAAGGAAAACTGATCGGTAGAATTCGATAGTGAAATTAAAGGAACTGAACCTTACCCCTAAAAATCTAATTTGTTTGGTGATCTTGTTCCCGTTGACTTCATACACAGTACTCTTATCTTCCAGCCCAGTCATTAGCAAACATATTAAAGATTCCCATTGTGTTCTACTCATCGAATCACCAACAAAAACAACTCTTTTATTTCGGAGCATTTCCAAAACACGCTGCACGTTAACTCTTGGAATAACACAATTCTTTGGCTTCCACCTCCATTTTATATAATCGTTATCTGTTCGGCCATTGTCCAGGCAGTTGAATCCTTGCTCTACAAAAGGGCATTCCGAAGCATTGTACAAGGGGTAACTATCATCCAATACCCAATTTCCATCAAATACATCACATGTATCGTCTGAAACACTGAAGTTGGAAAATCTATCCTCGCGGTCATGGAACGAATGTGTAAGATTCGGTAGGACATATAAGTACCCACAACCGATGACAAAGAAAAAGGAAACAATAGATCCAACCACAATTAGTGCACAAAACAGGTTCGAAACCCAAGTCTTCCTACTAAATCTGGGGCTGCTAGCAGCCCTCTGTTTAAAGGAAACACTTCTATTATAACTACTCATACCCACATTTGACCTAAATAGCTTCAAAAACTGAAGCCAAGATTACCATTAAAAATCCCTTGTCGGGCACCCAATTCATCGGCAAGCTCATTGACATAGGAAACAAATCAATAGACTCGCCGTTTACCGACCAATCACTACCATACCAAATTTAGCTGCAATCATCAGCAATGTCAGCAAACAGAAATTGAATCATTGAAATACCACGAAGCATGGAATTAATAAAAAATCCAAAACTTTACCATTGTCGATCCAAGAGAGCCTCGAGAATTCAAACTATGACCTCATTAATCACAACCCAGTACAAAATACATATTAAATTCAGATGCGCATCCAAGACTTCTCCAGAAAAGCAATCCCAACCGCTAAAGAGTATGGCTTTCTAAAATCTTGAATCAATCTGAAACGTACAACTACGTGGTGGAGATCGAGAAAGTGGTACAAAACTATAAAATAGAAATCAAAGCCTTCGAACAACAACTACGTGGAATGCAGCACGGTTAGCTGTTTGGCAGAGGCTAATTATGTAACTTCCTTTAACTAATTTACCATAAGGGTATGTTTGCCAGGAAAATAGAACTCTCCCGAACTTTCAATTCCCTTCCATATCATTAGCTAATTAATTTCCTTCATTTTCAATATATATTTTACCTTAAAAAATAAAAATAAATAAATATAGGGTTCCCCACTCGTTATATTTGTTTGCACCAAACATGGCCCTAAGTCACCAGGGGTGTTTATGAAATGGCCAAGTGAACGAATTGGAAAAAAGGGAGGCCACCACAACACTCTCGATTAATTTGAATTTATCTTATAGTTTTTTTCATAAATAGATGATGTCATAATTAGTATCGACAAAATATATTTATGGAAATCCATCGCAAAATATGTGCAGCACCTTAAATCATTAGAGAACAATAATTTAATTATTTGCATTAATCTTTGCAATTGAAATGTTTTATAAAAAGAGAATGACAATTCATTAATGACGGGATCATTAGTTTACAGTCTTATTGGAAGGATGATAATAATTCATTTCATCCAGAAGTCCAAAGATATAGTCCTCACCATTTTCAAAGTACAAAATTAATTTAAATCTCTATTCTCAAATGAATTTTACTGGTTGTACAATCAGAATTGACAACCTCGATTAACAAATTCATCATAGGAGGGAGGTCCACAATTTTTTTATTCATCGTGAGCCCCTTTCCATATGTGTGGTTGTTAACCCCGATTGTACATATAACATTGTTGATTCTCAAATGGTGCATATTGCACTCATAGTCACAAACTTTTAGCAAAATTTCAAATATCTCACTGAAGTCTAATATGTCTGAAATGAGTAAGTGAACTTAAAATTATTTTCAATATTTCACTTTTGTGTAGCATTCTATCGACCTTTTTTTTTTTTTTTTTTTTCAAATTGATGAGAATTCCTTAGTTGGCACACTATGTTGTATTTGATCGTCCACATCGCTATGTGGCATTCTAAAAAAATAAAAGGATTACAAAGTAGAATGTGGGTCATTACAATGTATTTAGATAAAAAGATCAAAAATTCTTGTTATATTATGATACTTAATGATGAAGTGTAGTGGTGTATTGACATAAAATGCATTGATCACGCAGAAATTTTGTCACGATATGGCTACCAATTATGCAATTTTCATCAATTTGAGATACAAAGTGGTGACCTTATAAGCTAAACAAGTTCGATAACCCAATTGGGATAGATTAAAATATATTGACCAAATTAAAATTTCAGGGAAATTTTGAAATAAAATATAGGGAACAATTCACAGATACATTAAAAAAAGTTCACTAATTTCATACTTCTGAAACTTTTTATTCTCAAATAGTTTTTTATACTTTTTTATGTTTATCATTTTTTAATTTAATTTAATTTTTATTATTATTATTTTTTTTTACAATTAAATGTTGTAACATAATGTATTAGATTTTGTGAAATTATGTTAAACACCTATTTTCATACTCTCATTATCATCATCACTTTTAACATAGTTATTAATTCATTACATATATTTTGTTATCTATTTCCACATTTGCTGCAACCACCAATACCACCACTACTCATATCTAATATATCCGCCCATCCTATTTCCCCTTCTTTCAACCTTCCTTTTCTCTCTTCATACTATTTGTGTTTTTCATTTATTTGCTATGTAAACTTCTATCGAGTCTTGTACTCCACTATATATGTATTGTATTTGCGTTAAGAAAAGCTAACCTCCATTAAGAATTGGGGGAAAAAGCCGAAGCTCTCACTATTAAAGAGACTGGCTTTTTTCTAGCAGAAGATGGCAAAAGTGTAACACAAGATCCATAATAATAATAATAACATTTTTCTTTATTTTATTTTATTTTTTTGAATATATGGAGTATTATTCAAATGCAAACCCATTCCATAGCATCAATATTCCATTTCATCTCTTTCACTAAATTGACAGTCATCAACAGCTATAATTTGTCAATTTGGCAACATTAGCTATCTTTGCTTTACACATTCTCAATTTCCAACAAAATTTTGTAATTTTTCAAATGCAAGGTTTCCTAAATTTCACGTGCAAAAAATTATACACACTGTATTTTGCAGTATTTTTTGTTGGAGTCTTGCATCACATATTGACAACATGGAATTAAAAAGAAAAGAAGAAAAGTCGAAATTGGAAAAAAAGCCAGATCAAAAGTAGTTAGCTAGTTATTACAGCTCACTTAGTTAGTTATTACAGCTCGGTTAGTTAGCTATCACATTTTACTTTATTGTTACGGTACGTTATAAAATGTAGCCAAGGCACTGATGCAAAATTCATTCAATTTAGTTCATTAAAAAATAAATTCTTCATCTCTAGCCCGCATTCTTTCCTGCTCTATCGAAAATCAATTTGCTTCTTTACATGGTATCAGAGCTTTCTTCAAGAAAATGCTTCCGCAACATCACCTACTAGAATAATATCACCCATTTGAGACGGTGCTCTGCAAAATCATCTCTTCTCTACAGAAATTCCACAAAAATTCTGCTTTGGAATTCTGTATGCTAATCTGCTGAAATGAGTGTTGATAATTCTAAACTTTCTGCTACCAACCCCTCAAATGTCTCCTCGGGTTCATATTATCTACACCCAAGTGACAATCTTGGTGCTTTGTTAGTCTCAGAAATCTTCAATGGAGAAAACTATGTCACCTAGAGTCGATCAATCACCATGGCTTTGACAGTCAAGAACAAGGTAAAATTCATTGGTGGCTCTATCACTCCTCCTTCCACTGATCAAATCGTCGATCATACGGCGTGGCTACGTGTAAACAATTTAGTTCTCTCTTGGTTGATGAATTCAATTTCTAAGGAAGTATGAAATAGCCTGCTATTTGTGACATTTGTCATTGATCTATGGAATGAACTCAAAATAAGATATCTAAGGAGTGATGGACCAAGGGTTTTTCATCTTGAGAAATCCCTGAGCTGTATAAGTCAAGGATCATCATCTGTTACTGAATACTTCAGTACCTTTAAGACTCTTTGGGATGAATACATTAACTACAGATCATTTCCAACTTGTACCTATGGAAAGATAGCATCATGCACTTGTGAATTGTTCAAGTTTCGACAAGCTAGACAACAATCTGACTATGTTCTCAAATTTTTGGTTGGCTAAATGATTCTTTTGCTTCCATAGAAGTCAATTACTCCTTATGGTTCCATTGCCTAGTATGGGGAAAGTCTTTTCCTTACTGCTTCAAGAAGAAAGCCAGAGACAACTCACAAACTCTATCACATACAATGAGACACATGCTTTGATGGCCAAGCTGCTCAATCAACAAAATTACCAACCAAAGTCACTCAAGGATAAGTCTAAGTCTTCCTTGCATTGCACCTACTGTAGCTATAATGGACATAGGGTAGACAAGGGTTTCCAACTCCATGGATATCCACCTGGCTGGACTGGACCAAAAACAAAAAGGCATGTTTTTGCACACGTTATCTTTACAAATCAAAAGTCTGGCAATCAGAATAGTAATGAGCAACCAAGGTTTTCTTTTACTCCAGAAGAGTTTCAAAAATTAATGGCGCTTGCTAACATAATGCCATTTGATTCTTCCACCTAGAACAATAATCAACCAGCAGCTAACATTGTCTCTACATCTCACTTTTCCGATAAAACACAATCCATATCACACTTAGCTTACTGTAGTTCTGTCTCTTCTACATCACACTCCAATTTATCTTGGATTCTTGACACTGGTGCAACAGAGCACATGATCTATTCACCACGTCTATATTATTCCACACCAAAATCTATCAATGCATCTATAAATCTTCCCAATGGTATTAGAGTCCCTACGTCACATATTGATATTGTATATCTCTCCAACTCTTTGTTCCTTCATAATGTCCTATGTGTTCCCACTTTCTCATTTAACTTATTATCTGTTTCCAAACTTACCAAACAATCTGATCTCTGCCTTACTTTTACTGCCTCTCATTTTACCCTGTAGGACCCATCAATGAAGAAGATGATTGGTATTGCCTTTGAGAAAGATGGGCTTTACCACTTGATTCCAGTTTCATCAAAGGCTCATCCTTGCAATACATCTCAATTTGCTTCTGTACCTTTTGCTTTAGCTATTACTCACAACCAGTTAGACATATGGCACTACAGGCTGAGACATGTGTCCAGTACAAGATTATCCTCTCTCAAAAAAATTGAACCATCCATTACTCTTGATTGTACACATGTTTGTGATACATGTCCTCTAGCAAAACAAAGGAAACTTCTTTTCTCTATGTCACAAAATAAATCCAATATAAAGTTTGATCTGATTCATCACATTTGGGGTCCTTTCAGCCCTTTTTCATACTGTGGTTTTAAATATTTTTTTGACTATTGTAGATGATATCACAAGGTGTACTTGGGTATACATGATGAAAGCAAAATCAGAAGTGCTATCCTTAATCAAAGCCTTTTGTAAAATGGTAGAAAATCAATACTCTGTCCCTATCAAAATCTTACGGTTTGACAACGGTCCAAAGTTCATTCTCACCAAATTTTACAACAAATATGGCACCATACATCAATGAAGTTGTGTAGAATCTCCACAACAAAATAGAGTTATGGAAAGAAAACACCAACACCTACTAAATACAGCTAGAGCACTAATGTTTCAAGCAAATTTGCCCCAAAACTTTTGGAGTAACTATGTACACAATGCAACCCACATTATCAACAAAATTCCTACACCACTTCTCCAAAACAAAACCCCATTAGAGATGCTCTTTGATAAGCCACCCAATCTTGCTCATCTAAAAGTTTTTGGTTGCCTCTGTTTTGCATCTACATTGGCAAACCACAAACAAAAATTCAACCCAAGAGCAACAAAATGCATATTCTTTGGATATCCTCTGGCCTACAAAGGATACAAGCTTATGAGCTTAAACACTAACAAGATATTTGTTTCTAGAAATGTTATATTTCATGAAACAATTTTCCCTTTCAACGTCCTTCCATGCAATCCTAAAACGCATTCCTTCTT